CTTTAGGCATCACAAACACAAATGAGGGTTCTTGTGTCAGGTAGAAATATTGCAGTAGATCAGACGAATTTACATGAACTCAAAATAGTGGTTGACTTGTCAATGGACTGCACTTTGCAGGAATGTAACAGAAGGCCTTTAGACAACATTTGGATTTTTTAACCTATCTATTTAGAAAATTGATAAAATAGAGCTTATGCATAATCAAGATAATGTTAGACAGATCAACACAAGACCTACATGGTAGAATTTGTGAACAAATTAAGCCTATTGCTAATTGCATCATCCTTAGACAGTTGGCGAGCAATAGGAATGATAATCAATATGAATGAAGTTGAAAAAATTCAAACAAAAAAATTAAACAAAGTAAATCTGGTATATTAAAGCTGTGCTGCATTTGATGAATGAGCAAGAATAAAATGGAAGGGAATAAGAAAATAATTGAAGTATAACAATAAATAAAATTAAAGAAAAAGTGAATATGAAGACCAAGATGGTGTGACATTCTGTTTGGTCGAAGTCTCCTTTAGCCTTATAGAGTTTGTTCGACCTTGTATTCACGAATTGGTCGGAGCGTCAGGGAGACCTTGTGGAACATACCTAGTGCTGCATCTTCTGTCAGAATATTTGTGATTTCCAGCTTCGGACCATAGATGCTGGCGAAATGTTTGGGAATGCACCAAGTCAATGGTCCAATGCTAGAAATCACGAATAGTATGGCAGAAAACATAGGACCAGGGAAATTCCACAAGGTCCCCCTGTCCCCTGACCAAGTTGTGAAAACAAGATCGAACCAAAATAATAAAAGAGAATGGAATAGTAGTGTATGATACATTAGTAAGACCAAGAAGTGGAGCATGAATGAAAGAAAAGGACGTACCAGTGTCAAAGTCTACTTGAAATGGAGCTGCTAGAAGAGCCAGCTGATGATACCCAAGATATGGGGAAACCAGCATGCTCTTGTCCAGATTCGGATCACGTAGCAAGCCAGGCACATTTTGCCTCAATATCTGACTCTGTGTCCTCAAGGGGCTCGTTGTTACTAGACTGTATACAACGGGGTAAACATCAGGCAGGCTGATGTTGGTGTAAAAGTTAGTAGAGGCGGGAGTACTAAAAGGTTCAACGACTGCAGTCACAGTGGAAACAGCATGTCCTACAGGCACTTTTTCACTCACAGTAGAGTGGTACTGGGTTACAGTAAATCGAGGACCCCGGCGGGTAATAATATGAACAAGAAGGCCTGTAAAAGGAAATATGAGATGTGGATGAGATTATAACCAAACAGGGAATAAACTAAGACTTAGAGCAATAAAAAATACTCAAACTAATAAAATGGTCTTTTCTTAACAAAACGCCAAAATACGAATTCAAATCAAGTAATGCCTAATACTATACAAGATTAATGTGATATGTCAAAACTATAGATGAGCTAGTATAGCTAATAAAGTCAACAATGCTGAGTCTAATCAACACAGTTCCCAGTTATAGATAGTAAGTACAGAACCGGTTGAACTAGTGTATCTTTGCTCTGCGTTGCGATAATTAAATATAGATAATAAGGTATGAAGACTAGGATATAGTGGCTTCTATTTTGGTCGCAGTGGTTTGAGCTCGTTTTCGCAACTTGGTCGAGTTGTCTACACCTAGTTAGACGAACCTTATCTGAAGTCCTCTATTATAGTAGTTACGAAAATTGCCAGTATTTGATAGTGTACATGGTACATTCACAGATCTTTGGCCAGCATCGTAATCGGCACTATTTCGTAAGCCTTTAAAAGCACGTACACTGTTTCTTTATCGGGTAGAGCGCCTGATCTCCATGCTTGCAGATATTAGGCATAATCGTCAAGAGTCATCTCGTTGATTAAACTCGTGTACCATGAGCCAACTGTGGACGTCTATCTCCGGTCGCTTGCTGTCTCTCAAGTGGATTTCTAGTTTAATACGTCAATGCAAAATTTTACGGTTGCGAAAATCCGTCTCCTTAATCCTGTAAATGCCACAATTCGACATCCATCAATCGTAGGCTTCTAATGATCACAATCCTCATTATCCCGATCTTCAGCCTGTAGACGCGAGGAGACTCAAAATTCAATATTATTCCGGTCTATGATTCTTTTGAAACAATTTCCTCTTGAATGTTCCATTATAGCGAGAGACTTCAAGATCCATGAAAGGTAAATGCCCCTTCTTTATTTATATTTCTGACCTGATTCTTTCAGCAATTTGATTTACGGACTTCAAGAAACTATCTAATTTATATTTTCCAGGCGATCAATGTGCGAAGTAGTCATTCAGGTTCTTTGGTTAATGCGGTAGCATACTGAAATTCTCTTCTAATTCGTGCATGCATGTTTGCCAATAGAAATGAGAACGGCGATCACATAGGAAGTTATCTGTTCATATATATTGCCGTTGAATGTGATGTAGATAGTACTTACTGTGAAGTTGATTAGTCATGCAAACGACTCCCTTTTGATTCTCTCTTTTTCCAGGATATTCTCATATCGGTCCAAAATCTCCAACAAGAATTTTAATGACTTTTATTTATAAATATATGTATACATAGATTGTGCATCAAAGCATACGAATAATTATGGTTCCTCCAGTACCATTTTTTTTATCATTTGAGAAAACTCATATGAATGTTTACTGTGTTTGATGACCCGTGATTTACCTTCTTAAGTTTCAAACATAGGAACTTTGCCAATGTATGTGTTGTTCAAGACTTGTTGTTAACTATCAGCCGTAGTGAATACCTTTTTTCGTGTATCTTCGGTAATCCGTAGAGTGTTGGTGATAGCGCATTCTTTCTTATGATGTAATTTTTCCACCATTTTGCTGTTCCTATGGTTAGCATGGTTAGGTCCTTCTTTACTACACGATACGTAGTCCTGTCTCGCACTATATATTCCAGGTTCTCGGTATATTATTTTCTGTCCATTCTTACTGTCGCGCCCACTTTGTCTGCCAGGAATAATTTTTCATTCATTTCTAGGATCCAGTATGCCCTCGTAAATCTATCCATGTGTTGATTAATGATGTATCAAGACCCTTGAGATTGTTTCCATCTTCATTTCCTGTTTTTTCTCTTCGGGGAGCTTGTCGGAGGTATTGATAATTTGCACCAGAATGTCTTGTAAAAGGTATCTGTAATTTTGAAATGAAAAGTTGATTCCTTTCTGTGGGATGGTAGTGGTTTCGGGGTCAAGAGAAAACGAGGATAAATTCATCACCTTGTTGCGATCGACGTTATGACCAGGTGTTGTCACTTCTAAAACCACTTCAAATGAGCATGCTGGCTTTAGAAGTTGTTTGACATTGTTTTCGCATGCATGCATAATTATTTCCAAAGTAGGACCGTAAATGTGGTACTTTCTCAGACGTTTCGCTGGCTTTAATTTATGCTGTCATATAATCCCATACCTAAACAATCTATTGTCATGTTTTATTTTTATAAAGTCAGAGATCCTACGTGATTTCTTGTCGGCCATATTCTGGAGTTTTTGGAAAGCTTCCGGAGTCAGAAACCTGGTCCGGTCATGCCATAGCTTAGACTTACTATTTATAAGCTTAAATAATTGATCGTAGATATGAAGACCAAAATAATGTGGTCTTTTGTTTGGTCGCAGCCTC